GCAAGCTTGCCCATCATGTTGACTTCTAGACCTACATGGACGCGATTGGAACACTCGGAGATAATCACTTCGTTCAGTATGAATGGGGCATTCGAAACCAATCTACTCCACATAAACATCGTTAGCTTAGATTCAATCGGAGAACAATCGCTTCACAGGCGTGGTCGGAATCGGTCAACATTCGCTTCCGTAGTTGATCCACGGTTACTGAGGACGATATCACCAGAGAAGAGAGGATGGTGCAATTGTCGACCATCTAATGTCACTCCCATATTGTCTCATTTTAGAGTTGGTTTAACGTTTTAGACGTTGGCAATGGATGATTTGGCGCGATCGTATCGTCTTGTCAATTGCCTCTTCTTATCTCGATAGAGATATCGTTGGAAAACGACGACATTTTGGCTTTTAAGCCTATATATAGCTTACGAAGTATTACTGTGCATCGAGTAGGGACGCCCTGGCTATCCAGATCGTCTATGACTGTCTCTGTTTCCACTGAGTCAAAGGTTTCCATAAATCGATGAGACTGAGACAAAGTTGTCTCTAAAACTCCTGTGAAACTTCAATGAGCTTGTGATACTGTGGACGTGGTCTATGACACTGAATTCTTCTCGAAACACCGCCTGTTCATATGGCTACCATTCGTTCAGTGTTCTTTCAATCGTGTTTGTGATGACTCGAGAACGGAGGTCCTAGACGACGAAGAATAAACAGACTAAGTGATAATTACCTGTCTCGTGAAGACATCCATTTCTAAACATTTACACGGTCTTCTTGATCCTCTATTGATTGAGAACCTTGTCCTTTGACAGGTAGCGAGTAAAGAACCGAGCCAGTGTGTTGAAGTAAACTAGCAAGAGGTTCTTAAAGTATTCTGATTTGATCCTGCCTAAAGGCGGTATTGTTTTATTCTTTGCCGACGAAATAGAGTGTCGGCTTTCAGAAGGGAGAACCGGTGGAACAACAAACTCATCCGTTATGCTTGATGATTATATTTTGAGCCATGCACGTAGTCTGTTATGGGCACTTGTGCAGCCTAATACACGTGTTTCGGCCTTGGCAGCCCCGTCAGCAGGGCAGGCTCTTTGTCTTTAGCCAATTTTTGCGAGGGGAACCAAAGTGCTACATAGAGAAGTGCAGACGTACTATTTACACATGCCATTGATTGAAAATATCACTGAGCGGGCAGTGTTGTACACTATATTGCTCTTGTGGTATCGTGCACAACACTGCCCAATCACCTCTCAGATGGAGAAATCCGTGAACGAGTAGCTATATTCGGCCTTTAATATTATCAGAAGACCACTTTTTGAACAATTTATTTATCAAGTGACAAAACGATCGTGGGAAAAAAGAGTTTTGAGAAATCACCCAATGAAAAAGTGCTTTTTGTTGGCAGGATGGCAAAATATTCCGTCACTGCCACATCGTGCTCACTTATGCGTGAACTTCAACACGATAATTCTTCGAAAAAAAAAACTGCAAGTTCTCAACTTTAGTGTGTACCAGTAGAAATATACGGCATGAATTTCCAAACCAGACTCAAAAGGGACGAGTAAAACGCAGAGCTTAGAGAAAGATAATCTGCAATACACACCTCACCAGTGGTCATCCAGTTCGGCGTGGAGTTCATAAAAAACCTCACAGATCATATTTAAAAATTTGGGTCCAAACCTGTTTGGGATGAGAAAAGGGTACTTATATGTTAGATGGCCACAATTAAAATGTTGATCCTTTTCGCTGAACAAAATATTTTCATATAAGTTTTAGTAATCATTCGAAAGCTTAAATCTCTGATTGCAGCTTCACTTAACACCTCTTTCAAGACACCATTTTATAACGCTGTGAAACTCGAGATAAAATTATGTTTGACACCTCAGTCGCGGCTTCATTTTTCCCACGCGTATGATTCGTTGGAAGAATAGAAGCATATGAATGCGTAAAGAAAGTTCCTTACTATTTGAATCGATCATTTTGACACGGAGTTTTTTCAAAGTAGAGAAAAATTATCAATTCAAAACAAGTTAGGCCTACATATCTGACCCACATCGATTGATCTCCCCATCCATTCCCCCGTCGTGAATTGAGCGCTAGGCAAGGTGGCTAAATATGTGAAGCTTGGTCTTATTTTATGTGCTACTGCAACAAAACAGTCTTTCACAAAAAGTAAGCGCAGCGCTGAAATCAGTGAATCCTATGCTAATAGTCAGAGGAAAGAGTTCTGTCCGGCTGTGTAATGGCATGTTTTCAGTCTGACCCAATGAAGTATGCTAGCAAATCGATGAGATGCACCGAAAACTGCTACGCCTGCGATCGGCACTGGTTAATACAAACAGATCAATTCTTTTTCACAACAATGCATGGCCACACGTCGCAAAACGAACGTTTTAAAGGAACGATTGAAGGCTGCGAAGTTTTATCTCATCTATACTCACGGGATCCCGAGCCTACCAGCTACCACATACTTCTTCAAGCATCTCGATAACTTCTTGCAGGGTAAACGTTTCCTTAACAAACAGGAGACAGAACATGCTTTTCAAAGGTTCGTAAAATCTAGAGGCACCGATTAATA